TCACTAAAAAGGTAATCATTTAAACAGAATGTTTAAGTTGATTTCCTACGGATCAATTACAGTTAAAATAACATTGAAGAAATGGACATGTAGCTTTTATTGACCTCTAGAATTGTTGATCATGTTCCTCAATCCTGATTTTCAGTACAATCAGAAGAGCAAATTTATCTTCCCTCCTCCACTCCCTCCCCCCCAAAATCAGAGCCATTACATCTACTGTTTCTTTGTTTATGTTGTTCTTTCTACCAAACTCAGATATACTGCATCTCCTCCACGTTTTCTGTTTCTGGAATGAGTTCTCACAATAAAGAAACCCTGAAACAATTATACAGAACCTACTGCCTTTTCAGTCCATATAGCCAGAATCACCCACCTCAGGAGAGACAAAAATATGTCAACTTTTTTTCCCCTCCACTACTGGCTGCACCTGTTTGGGGTATGTAATTGGCAACTAGACTTGGGTTGGAGAAAAGCATCAATATAAAACTCCCGACGAGGAAAGGAAAAAGATCAAACCTGAAATAACAGGTTTCAAGGGCAAAATAAGAGTATACATAAGCATCCCTGTTTTAGATAAATCAGAATCAACAAATCACCATCATTTTTTTCCTTATTAATACAAATATATTATGTTAATATATAATGAGATATATTCCAGTAAGCAGGTAATCGGTTAGGGGTTTTTTGTATTGAACAGCTAATTGCATTGGTACTTTTTGGTCAAAGAGAATATATTATTGCAGTCGATATATGTTAATTATATAAAATATATTATTTTTACATAATAACATTCATTGGTGCTAATTTGTGCTAATTTAACCAATTTCATACATTGTTTGTATATTTTACCTGAGTGGGAACAGGATCACTCAAAGTACGTTGCCCCTGCTGTTGTATGCCTCATGTAGCTATTCCCAAGACCTTAACCCTGATTTCCAGGTGCAGCCCTCTTTCCCAATGTTCAATGATTAGAACAAAATTCCAAGTTATGTACTGGATACCAGATGTACATGTGAAGGTCCCTTCTCTAAAGATATTTGTATAGATAGATCTCAAGGAAACAAACTATGGGATACATGCAAAAACAAACCATGTGGCACGCTCAGATAAATGTACAAACTAACCAATCTTTCATTAAATTGCTTATGAAACCAAGAGTTATAATATCAAATATTAATTTCTTTTAACTGTACTTACACATGGATTCACATTTTATTTTCATGGGGTTATGTAGATTTAAATATATAATCAAAATATTTTTGTCTTATTTTCAGGTGGATTAATTCAGAGTTTCCAAGTAAGCAGTTTAATCTCTCTTAACTGTAGACCTTTCATTATCAAATCTTATATATTACCAGTAATACAGAACCATATGCATTTGTTCACCGTGAACCAGGAATATGCAAAATTATCAGAACTGAAAAGCTTCTGAGTTCAAAATGGGTTGTTCTGACCATTCTGGAAATGGTCAAGCTCAAAATGCTCCATTTCAAACACCTGTTCCAAACTCCTGTTCCAAACTCAAAATTGAACTGTTTAAATCTGAAACATTTTCCTGTTCCTTTTTGGAACAGCTTGCTTCAAACTCAAATCATCCTAATGTGAAACTCAATATTCATGCTTAAAATACTTCAAATGAAAGCCAGTATGCATATTCTTACTGTCTTACTTATTACTGTCAGCTACAAGGTCTTCTATTTTAAAAAGGTACAGTCAATTTAAACTTACATTTGGTTTAAGTGTAAATATTACTAAATTGAATGTTTAAATCAGAGACAGTCATATTTAAGTTGCAACATATTTAACAATATCATGTTCATGAGAAAATATATGATTGCCAACAGAAATAAATCTAGCCACAATTACAATTAGAATCTCTCTATGTTTTATGAGAGAAAGTGCTTAATGCAGTTTCATATTACCATACTGATTCATTAAAAATTGTTATTTATCAATCTCCCATTCACCAATACTGGAATGATAATGACCTATTTTTATAAGGCTGCTTTAATGTTACTGAGGTAAAATATGGGATATATTTTAAATACTAGAAAACTCTATAGAAAGATTAAAGATAATCTGAGGCATTATCTTTTGAGAATTCCAGTACAAGCTGACATGATTCCTGCCTCTTAAACTACTATGTGGACTAGAAGACAATTATCCTTTGGATTTCACATTCCTCATATTTGCAGTAGAGTTCTCAAATCAAAGTATGAATGAAGTCTTTCTATCTTTTGATAGCTCCATAAAGAGGGTTTAAATCTGTGTCGTGCTTCTAAGAATTCTCTTGTATTTTTCCTTCTGGACTGTTCTAAAATTTCTGCTGTTTTCCACCTGAAGTTATGTTCTAGCTTCTCTCTATGTCTTGTTGACTGCTAGCTGGTGCTTATGGATATATTCTGTTAGGCTTCCACCTGTGTGTCCTATGTAGTGGTGTTCACTGACTTTGCATTTTATTTTGTATATGACTCCTGATTTGTCTTCATTTAGTACTATGTCTCCAGGTTGCATAGAATGTTTCCATGGACTCTGTTGGCTTGCATGCCACATTTATTCCAAAAGGTCAGAGTAGCCTGCTGATAGACTCTGAAACTCCTTTGATGTAAGGGAGGGTTATACTTCGAGTTGGTTGTGATGTTCCTGTTATTGGGTGGATTTGCACTTTTTGATGAAGTCACATGGATGTCTATTGTGTTGAAGGATGCCTTGTAAGTAGCTTACTTCTGCTTCTATAGTTCAAGCTAATGAATGACAAAAGGCAGACTCAATTTGAAGTGCTATATATATATTACACTGGGCTCCTGAATAAAGTGGATATAAATCAAATAAATAAAAAAATAAACTCACCGATCCACAGCTTCGACGTCAAAGCAGAATCTCTTCTCTATGGAATCAGTCTTCCGACGAGTGCAAGATTTGAGGATAATAGCTTCATCTTCTCCCTGGTGGGATATGAAAATCACACACTAGGCCAATTCTTTCTTTTTCTTTTTTAAATCCTATCTGGAAGCAACCTTGCTTCCAATGTCAGAGGCGTTAATTTTAGAAGTAGTATTTCACCCAATGTTGATCATCAATTTAAACTAGCTAGTAAAGAAAAGTAAGGATTTGTAAATCCTGTAAGATACTCTTTGCAAAATGAGAAGCAGAAACCTTATTTAAATCTATCAATCTTAGAACAGATAAGAACATAAGACAGACCTGACAGATCAGAGCAAAGCTTTATCTAATCCAAAATATTGCCTCAAAGAGTGATTACCTGTTCATCCAGGCCATAGCAAAACTGGACAGTAATTCTCTTGCATGGGCTCCCAGCATTGGCCTACAATGGTATATCCTCTCCAACACTGGACCCTCCATCAATCTTTCTACTCCATTCTTTAAAAATCATCTAAGGTAGTGTGCAGCATTATAATTTCATGAAACAGATCTGTAGAAGCACATGCTCTAAGGGTACCATCAACATTTGTTTTTAACTGCACTTGTAAACTACAACCATGTAAATACTTTATAAATCACTTTCCTTAGAAAGACAATCAAACTTTTTTTTTTAAATTTCCGCTGCCCTGTTAGGATTCTTCTAAAACCTGAAGGGTCTCCCTTTTTCAGTAATTACAATCATGGCATAGAAGGTTCATCTGAGATGAACATAATATTTCTAATGGACCGTGTCTTTTATCCCTGATTATGCAAATCACAATGTTGTCTTTCAATTGCTGGAAATCCAAGTGCCAGTCTTACCACTTACCAATCTAGTTCTGATTATAGTACAACCCACAGAAAAGAAACTAGATCTGCTCAATCACTTATCAGGCAATATTCTACTTCTGTTGTTGGTTTTAGTTCCGTTCAGAGATTCTTAGAAAGATCTGGCAGGTGAGAAGCTACAAATGGCATCTAAAAGTTAGACTGATAAGGAAGTGCCACAAAATGAAACAAACATTCCCAGACCATGAATCATAGTTCAAGCAGAAATGCCCTAGGAAGAATATGTGTGTATTCCATTACTGAAGTGATACATGTGAAAGGCTATTAATTGGGGTATGTCAAGCAATGACTTTGCTCCAGGAAATGTCTTGACCTAATAAGAATAACAGGAAGGTTATTTCAGACACAGTACCTGCAGATCTTTATAGATCTAGAAGTATTCCCAATTCAAATGCAGACAAGTAAAAAGCTGCAGGGCAAAACAAAGTGAAGATAATAATTCATCTCATCCCTTTAAGGAATGAAACCATATAAGCAGCAGGTGCCTTGAGACCTCTTCCTGGTGTTATATTAATTGCAACAAACCTGTCTAGGAAACAAATTACTATGTTGGAATCCTTATTTTAAATACTTGAAAGCTTTTTATGTGAAGCCCTCTTTTTTCAAGTAAAGCTTTAACTTTTTTCTCAAGGAAAGTTCTTTTCTAGGATAGTGTCTGTGTTCATTGAAGAACTTGTGGAAGCCAAACTGAGACAGTTTGATTCTACTTTTTCAACACAAATGCATGACTTTATACACACACACACGTGTACATAGATTGTCATTACATCTATACCTATCTGCACATCACATATAAAGATTTTTATATATGCAGATCAAAATGGTAAGATATGGTGCAAACAACATTTTATTAAAAATAGACTGGAAGCTTTGTTAACATTATAGCTAGCAAGAAAATATCCTTTTATCAGCTATGCACAATTATGTACTCTTTTTTGAGTTGTGAATTGTGTCCTAATATTCAGAACAGCAGATTTCAGCACATTCTTGTTCCCCTGTAAGTTATGCAGATGCAAATACAATTAATTCATCTAAAGTGAAAAGTGATTTAATTTTTTGTCTATGCCTAGAAAACCAATGTATTCCATCACATCTTGAAGAAACAATAACCCTATTTCAGTGTACTGGAAAACCCTACTTATAATGGGGAGATGTAAACATGTGATCCAGATTCAGCATACCATCTGAACACTATGTTGAGAAAAATCTGAAGTAATACTATAACACAATTATAGTTGTTGTTGTTCAGTCGTTAAGTCGTATCCGACTCTTCGTGACCCCGTGAACCACATTGCGCCAGGCCTTCCTGACCTTCACTGCCTCCCTGAGTTTGCTCAGTTTCATGCCCATTGCTTCAGTGATGCTATCTAACCATCTCATCCTCTGCCGTCCTCTTCTCCTTTTGCCTTCAATATTTCCCATGCAATTGGTAACTCTGGCTAACTCCATTTTAAACGACCCAATTTTATTCTAGCCATAAATGAAAATAATCATAAACCTAGAACTATCCCCATGACAGATCACCTGCATTTTCACTCACCCCCTTTCCACCAGACTTCTGGTCAAATGGCACCATCGTTATTCGTTTGGATTCACTCTGATACGTGCAGTAATGCTTCACCCAGGATGTCCCAAAATGACCTAGTCATAATTGAAATGAATTATATATTTCAGGTATAATGCAAAATCAAGGTAATTATAATGGAATGCACACCTTAACATAAGGATGGAAACAAACTGTGCAGGCTACAATTTGATATATCCAACATACTAAATTTAGGAGATGTACAAAAGTCATTAACCCTTATTTGAATTACTGTGTGAATTTCAGCCCTTGAAAACAAAAGGGAGTACTTCTATGATTTATCATCTTTTTGTAGTAAATCTGAATAGAACCTCCAAAGGGAAAAAATAGTCTGGAAGAAAGATATAGAAGATGCAAAATGGAATTCTGTGTAGGTTAAAAAAACAATTTAAATCATATCAGGAAAAATGTTAGTCTTCCTTGAAGGTAGTACACGGTCTATTAACAGCAATCCTCAACCTGATATTTGACAGAATGAAAAGAACAGAGTTTCCTCTCTGATATCCAGTGCAGCTCTTCTCTGCACAACAACCTTTTAGATGCAGGTGTTGATATTATTTCAAAAATACAATTCAGGCTCTCCCTAGAACCTCTATTAAATTTTGTAGACCTTTCCTGAAATGTAATTTTCATAAGGATCTTATTTTATTCTTGCTAATTAGAGTTAGGACAGAAATAGCAAGAAACTGTAAACTGGCTGCAGTCAATGCGGTTGAAAGCTGGTGCTCAAGGCCGCAGCAATTCTTCTGCAAGTGCAAAGACTCATTAGAAGAACAAAAAAGTAAAATCTGTTTCAGCCACATAATTTCTTTTTCTCTTATACATTAATCAAATTCATTTACTTGATGCCTGTTTTTCTTTACAGTAGTTGGGAGCCTATGGCTCCTCTGATGCTGATGACCTTCTGGTAGACTGGGAATACAGCTAATGGGGATGGATGCTAGCAGCTGAACTGAAGCAATACCTATAGAGGCCACTTGTTCCCTATCCCTGTTTTAGAAACGTTCCCCAACCTAACCCCTCAAACATTGTAGGGTTTATAAGAAAGATATGAAGACATTAAAATTTTTTCCATATTGTTACCCTAGAGATTTCACAGTACATATAATAAGACTTGGTATCATTAAAAATAACTGAAAAAGTGAAAAATAGAGGAATCATTCTTTCTTTAAGGAGCAACCCTTTCCAGAGGTTCGGACTAATTGCATCGGCCATCCATTTTCTTGACTGGGAAAAAAATCTCCAAAGCTTTTAAGTCAGTTCAAGGAGACAGAGCAGAGAAGCTGTCTGAAGTAAGCATAAAGGTACTTACGCTTTTCCTGAACATAGAGGTAGCCCTCCATGGTGAAAGGGCTAATGTTTTTGTGCTCATGAGGATTTTCCTTCATTTTCTTCATCAAGGATTCAACTTCAGATCGTGTGCCTTCAAAACGGTTTCTTGTCTGCATTTAAAGATTAATGGAAAATGGGTAGAAAATATTCTAGTCAAGCTTTAAATACAAAGAATCCTACAATAAGGTTGTGTAAGAAATAAGACTGGCCCAAGAGTTGATGCTACCTGAGGCAGAACAGAAAATTACACTCTCTAAGATGTAGAGGACCCATGCCAACCAGGTTCTTTTGGCAGTATGAGACAGAACAATCTTCAAGAACCTCATCACTAAATCAGCAGATGGGCAACAATTCTGAATTAACAAGTAACCAAGGTCTTGTTGGGTTTTCATAGCATCAAAATCTGTTGCCTCAGGTGGCTGCCATATTTTGCCTAATACCTTTGCTAGTTAGAAATAATATATGGGAGCCTCATACATGCCTTTGGCTCACACTTGTTTCAATTGACATGAAAGCTGCATGTTTTAAGCCAGTAATGTTGCCATATATCCACTATATATATCAATCCCTGTGATGCCTGTTAATCTGCTGTTTGTTTTCTCAGAATAGAAAACTGCAGGTACACACAGAGTTCCAGTTAGAGCATAAGATGCTGTCTTATACCAAATCAGATCACTGGTGAGTCTAGCCCAGTACTGGCTGTAACAACTAGCAGTGGTTCACTAGAGTGTCAAGTTGAAGTTTCTGCAGACTTCCTAGAAAGGCCAGGTGGGTTAACTGGGCCTTCTACCCAAAAAATAAATCCACTGTTAGAACTTAATCTTGTTATTTCTTATTAAATCTTGACCATGTACGTTCAGGATTAGAATGCACAGACAATAGCATTCTATATATAGGCCATAGTAGGTTTCATTTGACCTTTTCATACATTACCAGTTTCTTCTGAACTACATCCAGGTATCATATACCTATATAAAGCTTTGCAAAAGACAGAAGTGGAGGGCACACAGTCTTAAGCCAACTCAGAAACTTCTATGGAATATAACAAATCTCAATATGTTGAGAGATTTTGAGGAACAATAGCTATTAGAAACTCCTAAGCACCTTTTTTTCCAAAATGGGAACAAATCTATTTTTTCTTGATGAAGCATGCAGCCAGTATAAAAAAAGAGAGTAAATATTATCATCATTAAGTCTTGGCACCAATATTCATGTATGATGGTACATTCTTGAAGAAGTAAACAGTAAGTTTAGGTATATTATAAAGTTATAGTACATTTAAGCATGTATGAAAAAGGGCATCTGGTTCATAAGACAAAAGAAAATATGCTGTTTTGAAATGGTTTGCTTGATCACCAAGTTTACCAACCATCAATGGGGGGAGGGAAGAGGAGAATTTTTTTTACATTATGCAAATTAAACTTTTCATTAACATGAGCACAGCACAATATGCTTGGTGAAAAAGTAGATGAACAGCACTTGAAAGAGATCCTTTATCTTCAATAAGTGGTTCTGCTTACATTTTGAATGCTGATTGTCAGCTCTGTCTTGAAATCACTAAAATCCTTTGCAAGCTCATAGCCATGATGGTAGAATGTGAACAGCCCTTGCAGAAATGCCAGCAGCTGCAGGGGAGAAAAAAACAAAACAAAGAACTGAATTCCAAGTGCTGGTTGGCTTCGTTTTTATGTAGTAGAGAGCATTTGTGTCGTCTTTCTCCCCACCTCAGACAGAGAAGATGCTACGGCTGCAGTCCACTATACATACCACAGAGTAATTTCTGCTGAACTCAATGGGATTTCTGAGTACACTCCTTTATAACTGCACCAACAGTGAAACCAAAAATTAAGACAGTGAACTATTCTTCAATGGATGTGTTCAAGAAAGGACAGTTATCTGGCAGGAATATTTTGATTTAAGTTTTTCAGACTACACAGAATTTCATTTTGTATCTCTTGAATCTTTCTTCCAGACCACTTTTAAACCTCAATAGAAGGTTATCAATTACAGAAGCTTCCCTCTTTATTTTGGAAGGCTGAAACTCAACAAACGTTCAAATAAGATTGAATTCATGTTTATGCATGCTTATTTGATAGTAACTCCATGGAGCACAGAGAAGCTTTTTTCAAACAAACACATATAATCTCATTACCCCAAATCTTACATCATCATCATCATCATCACATCCCACCTTTATTTAGTACAACTCAAGGTGGTGTACGTAATGTTCTTGCCTCCTATTTTCCTCACAACAGCAAGCCGGTGAGGTGAGGTGAGGTGAGGTGAGGTGAGGTGAGGTGAGGTGAGGTGAGGTGAGGTGAGGTGAGGCAGAATGATTGGCCCAAAGTCATCCAGCCAGCTTTCATGCCTAAGGACAGACTAGAATTCCAAATCATTTTATGACTATACAATCTTTGGAGCTTCCAAAAGCTTTTTTCAGACATAGAGTCACAAATTAAAATGTTGGACAGACCTAAACAATTTTTAACAGCTTTGGCCTAACTATGTCACTGTAAGACTCCATATATAAATACATAAATAAGTCAGTCAGTCAGATATACATATATGTAGCTATGCCTTTTCTCCCAGATAACTGAGGGGAGAATCAGCCATAATAACAACATCCTACTCTTTCCAAGAAAAAAAACAGTAGAAGCAATAGCTTCCTTCAAGCATTCAAACTTACAAAGCATGAAAAGGAGCCAGAAATGCCTGCTTCATCTATGCCCTTTCCATTCCCAACTTTTCTGCATCTACAGAGAGGTCAGTATAAGAAGGCTGCAGCCCTTTTCAACTGCATTCAGCTATGATGATTTGTGTAATCAGGAATTCTGCTCAAAGTTCTTTATTGCATGAACCATTTGTCCTATTAATACAGAATCGATTATTCACCCCATAAATTTAAATTTAAGCAATGTATCTGTTGTACCCAGTGCCATCTGCAGTTCAAACACAGAAATGACATAAAGTAATAAAATGCGTAAAGTAGAAGGACTTTATTCCTTCAAAGCTACAGGAAGGAAGGAAAGGATTCCCACCCATCCTTCAATAAAAATCAAACACAAATAATGTTGTTGAATCTTAAACAGGAATTTTGGGAGAACAGAAAGAATGATGTCGCTTTTTTATTTTAGAATAAGGATACGAAATTCTTTTCAAATGCTTCAGACATGTAAAAATGCCAGGGCAAATTTCAAGATATTGATTTTTTAAAAACTTGAGAGTAAGCATATGGTCTGATTCAGGGCCAGCACAGTAAAAGCCAAATAATTCCCACAGCTATCTTGTTTAGAATAATGAACACAGAAAATAGAGAGGTTCATTTAAAAAAAAAACACACCCTCAATTCATATTCATTGACCCCCCAAAAAACAAATGTCAGCATAGGGATACATATAGTTATTTCCTACAAAAAAGGAACTTTATATGATAATGAATTTCTACTGAATAACGCTAATGTCAAAAAGTACCTAAAAATGTGGGTCACAAATATTTTTAGATCAACCTTCACCAGGAGGTCACTGGGTATCTTTAGCCAACTCAATATAATCTCAGCATCATAATCCTGTCCAGATATCTGCCAGATGTTCCTAACATTTCACAATGGAGCAAGGTCCTAAACTATGTAGCAGTAACTCAGGTTCAAGAACTCTACCTAAATACGATAAATAAAATAAATAAAAATTCCTAAAGGAGGCCAATTATCTTGATCTATTTCAGACTGCCTAATTTACATAAATGAGTTTTTCCCCCTCCTCCCCCCGCCCCCCCGCAGGGCTGAAACAAGAAGAAGGTGATGCAGCTGGTTTTGCTGGACATTTTGGTACTTTTCAGTGACTTCATGCATAATACCTTTCTGAATTACAGTGGAACCTCGGTTTACGAACTTAATTCGTTCCGTGACTCTGGTTGCACCCCAAAT